CCGACCACGACAGACCGCATCCTCAACTACAACAGCAATCACCCTTTGTGCCACCTAAAAGTTGTGTGTGAACTCTATTCCGCCGAGCAAGCACACACTGTAGCGCACCGGAGTTAAGGACAAGAGAAAGAAGTCGCCTATTTCAACGGTTCCTATCAAACGCATATCCCAGGAGTTTTATCAAAGCGTGCCTAAGAGGTAAGAAACAGACAACACATACAAAAGAACGAACTTAGAAAAAACGCTACCCTATATGCGCGGCACGTCAGAAGCCACCGAACGAATATTCCGACTGTTGGGTATCAAGATCGCCCATAAACCGGCATCAACCGTCCGATCATCGCTTGTCAACAGCAAGGATCGAGTGGAGCAGCACGAACGATCAGGTGTAAACTACGCAATCCCGTTCCTGGGCTGCAACCAACATTGCATGGGTGAGACAGGCAAACAACTACACACTCGCCTACATGAACACAAGCTTACCCTCCGACGCACTGACCCGAAGTCACAAATCTGGAACCACTGTGCACGGACAGGTCACGAGATCGTAATCGATAACGCAAAGGTTGTGACGCGAGCTAAGCGAGGAGAACGATTAATCCTCGAAGCTTTGCACTCGGTCAATTCGTTCAACCGACACGTCGAGATAGACAAACATTACGTCATACTCGCAAAACCCGTGACCATTGGTGGACTGATAGACGTGCAAACAGCACACAGGCGCACAAAAAGACGGTAATCCCATTATTTCATTCATTTTATTTATGTTTGACAACAAGTCCTAGTTTCGATCGAAATGCTACAATAAACATTTTACAACTCAGTGTACGCCTTCCTTCCCTCTTGAAATACAAACATATACAGGTATTGATCGAACTCGTGCAACATGACTCTGAAAAGAGAAATATTCTTCACCTTCAAATATCATACCCATACATCAATAGCTACTGGTATTAACCATGTATTTCGAACTTCACTTTCTATTGTAGTGTTCTCAGCTCTCCTGTTTCGTGATTTGAGTTGGCGCGATCTTGGTTGTCATAATAAAAATTGCAGCAGTTCGGAAGTTCCTGTTTAAAATTAGAAACCATTTGGTGTAGAGAGGCAAGAACGTCTATTCTTTCTAACCAATGAATATTTTTTCATGAGGATGTTTGTTCTGCTCCATCCGAGTACTTCAAATAGCATATCTTTTTCCATACAATGCAAAGTAATTATACAGGTAAATTATGATATATCATCGAAATTTATTCGAAAATATATGTGGCTACAAAATGCACCCGCAAAATCTCGCATCAAGAAGGAAGTAAAACAATATTGCACGAAACGTGAAATTTAGCCTTCGAGCAGTGACCTTGAGGTGTGCGGCATGTCGAATATTCATTTTGTGTTGAAACCATGTCCAAAG